AAAATAAGTTATTCCAATATTCGCTTGAAGTCGAAACGGAACTAATCATTTTAATTTTATTATATAATTAAATTTAAAGTTTATAGCTTCCCTTTTTGAAACATGGTTATTACTGTGTAGCGAAAAAAAACATATTTTCAATCAGCTAATTTATAATATTTATGCTCTGTAAATTTACATTGTTAGAAATAAATATGTTGTGGTGCTTAAATTCAATCTAGAATTTATAAAATATGATAGAAAGTAAAATATTTATTTAGTTAACATTTTTATTATAACAACAGTATAAAAAGAAATTAAGAAAAAAAAAAAACAGACATCTCAATCGTGTCTTTTTAGTAACAGATAATGTCATAGGTCATGCGCTGGACGACTTTCCCTAAAGAATTACTAAATGTTATCTCATACGGAAGGTCGGGTTTAGAAAAAATGGAAATGGTCAGACAAGGATGAGAGAAATATCGGATTAAAGAACGTTATTTAAATTCGATCTGAGTTTATTTCGCATTGATATCGTTGGAGAAATGTGTAGTCAAAATGTTCTGCCTACCCCCACGTTATGGGTTAAATAAGAGGAAAATAAAAAAAGCAAAAGGAAACCATTTTGCCATCTTCTCCCGGAGGAAATATGCACAGTTCAAAGATATACTAAAAGAGGCTGAAGAGAGACATGATCCTTTGTCCTGAAGAGATATTGCACTTAACGAGGAGACGAATATCTTTTACTTTTTTCTTTCAAAGAAGTGATTTTCTTTATAAGGAAGTTCACTCTATAAAAGGCTCGAAAGCCACAAGTATAGAGTGTTACAGTCAATGTGGTAATGATGAATAAGACGTTTGATATAAATGGGGAAGACGATAGAAGAAATGAAGATTGTAGGTAAGAATGAGAGATGAGTATTGCTTCTTCACTTGAAGGGCTCAAGAAAATATCCACACGGGAGCCTGAATCACAAAGTCACAGTCCTTGAGAAAAGGCTGTCTGTACCAGACCTTCTTATTAAAAATCGGACATGGAATAAATAAGGTTAATTGAGTGGGTAAAAATTTATACGTATGACAATCAAAATATATTAAAAAGAGCTGAGAAAATTTATCAGTAAACTTTTATAATTTAGGATAGTCTGTAAATCTACCTTTCGTCCTTGCATTGAATACATATATGGTCTCATGGATCCGCTGTTCATCTTGAGGTCCTCGACAAAATACGAGACGGATATTGTTATGGTCCGGTTCCTTGTACCATGGTGATAGTCCAAGGTAGAACCAATAAAGAAGAACTCGAACACGGATATGGAATAACACAAATATATTACAAACAGGAAGGAATATATACAGAGAAGTAGAAAGTGTTAGTACGAACAATCAGGTTTAGTAGTAATTGTCTGAACGCGACTCTGATTCGGACTGCCTCTGACTCGACTGACTGACTGACTCACTCTAACTGACTGACAGACTCCAGACTTCAGACTGAACTCCAGACTTCAGACTGAACTCCAGACTTCAGACGGTACCCCCTGCTTCCTCTTGAGGCGCAGTATTTATTACGTATGGAATAGTCCATTATATTATTATGGGTAAGGTCCCATAACAGATATGCAATGTGATAAGTCCTGATCTGGTATCTCGTCTACAGTCATTTTCTCACAGACATGCTGTGACTTCCCTTTGTCTTTTCTACAAATATTTTCATGACAACTGCACTGACAAGCTACTTTTACTGGTACCCCAACTTTATGAATTTAAACGTGCTGCTAGGTTGGCATCTCGGTCCCACACTTTCACTGTCAAAACAGTTAAATGTAACCGTCTCTCCTACTCCAGCAGCTTCTTCTCTCGCACCTCCTGCCAGTGGAACTCCATTCCTCTTACTTTCTTTCCCTGATAGCTACAACCTTCAGATATTCAAATGTAATGTCAATCGTCATCTTCTGATGCCTTGATCCTGATCACCGACTTTCTCTATATTCTTTCCTCAAACAACCCTCTTTATTCTTTCTATCACTCTCTGTAACACCTTGCGTGCTAGTGGCACTCCAACATTCTCTGCGGTGAATTCCTTAAAAATATATGGAATAACTATAAATAAATAACAGGAGCAAGTATGAAAACGCATTACTAACATATATATTTCTATTTGAAGGTCATAAATCATGAAATATCTTTTTCTATCAGCGAGTCTCTCAAAATCTTCCTGATTAAAAACGTATCTTGCAGTTTTTTGTCTCCTCACATAAACGAATAAGGACCAATGTTAGGGGTCGACATAATTACTGTGGTTATTAAATGGACTTCGAAGGTTTTTCTACGTTTGTCTTTTATTACATAACTCAAGAACAATGCCACAGTTCTTTAGGTCTGTTGGAAGTGTTCTCACTCGAATCTATCATACATTTATAAGTCTAACATTCGTCCATGCTTAGAATATTGCTATCACCTATGGATTGGCGCTCTTGTTATAAATTTGGAGATCATTGGTGAAATCTAAAGAAGGATCGATTGTTCTGATGAAACTTCCTCTATGGTACCTCTATGAATTTAACTTAAGTACTTGATTGGCGGGTAATATCTCACCAGTTTTACAGTTGAAATCCATAGCTGTAACCGGAAGTTCTGTGCGAAAGTTCTTGTGGAACTCTCTTCCAAAGTTAGCAATCGACATATTTACTGTGGTATTAAATGGTTTTCGAAAGTTTTTCTAATTTTCTTTTTTATTACATAACTTCAATAACGGCAGCCAAAAGCTTAGCCGGGAATATGAAAAGATACAATTGATAATAAGTAGACAGAATATGTCTAAATTCTTCAATGAAACATGTCTCACTGAAACCAACTGCCTCAAGATATATATATGTATGTATAAAATGTCTTAAAAAAAATAAATGTCGTACTTTGTCCATTTCATAATGTGTGTATATATATATATACATATATATATATATATATATATATATATATATATATATATATATATATATATGTAATATAAAATGTCTTAAAATAATTGTCGTACTCTGTCCATTTTCAAATAATGGATTGTATATATATATATATATATATATATATAATTATAAGATGTTCTCTTAGAAGAATATGATACTAATTAAAAATAGAACATAATACTGCAGTTTTTAACTAATCCCAAACATATTAATCTCCTATATCGTAGTCAAATGCATACTAATTATAAACATGAAAGATGAAAATATACTAAAAAATTATTAAATACTAATATATCTACAAGAGATCCTAGCAAAAAAAATTAATTTTAATCATATACTACACTAAATCTAGTATATCCAATTCAATTACTCGCAATGATTCTCCAAAATTAGCGTTAAATGGATGAATTTTGAAAAAACCAACATAATTTACAAATTCAATATGCCCTCTGGAGATTGTATCTCTAATGTATTAAATAATATTTATGTTGGTCACACCACAAACTCGCTTTCACAACGCTTGGCTCCACATCTAACATTTTTAGGCATTTAAAACAACATGCCTGGAAAAACAAAACTATAGTTAAACATTAAAACAATGAACAAAAACTAAAAATTCTTGAAGTTATATACATAAAACAGTTGAAACCCAACCTGAACAAAATAAAGTATGAAAACTCCACAAATATACGTAAATGCCTATAACTGATAAAAAAAAGCCATTGGTTTATACCGACGGCTTCCCATAATTAACACTTCTCGTTTTCACTCCCGCGTGTTCATCTGTGATGTCATGGGCCCTGGTGCGATTTTCGCTTCCAGTGGCTTGTATGCACGAGTTTGTCGTTGCTTCGAAATCTTCCATGCAAACAAAACAGACTACAATTGTTCCTATGTCCGTGTATTGTTTAATTTATTGTAATGTACTTGTTATCTCTGATGATGGCTTATTTAAGCCGAAAGCTTAGATAGGATTAAAAAAACATGTACCAATATGGTGATTTCCTTTCGTCTTTCAAGGATAATGTTATTTAGCTTATCAGACAATATGAAAGAAATTTGCTTAAAATAAATAGTCAAGACTTGTCTATATTATTTAATGAAACAGGCATATATATATATATATATATATATATATATATATATATATATGTGTGTGTGTGTGTGTGTGTGTGTGTGTGTGTGTTAAAGGGTTTGGCTAGTTTAGGTTTATTTGTATGATAGTTTATGGTCATGTTTGGATATGTTGTTGATGAAAGGGTCTAAATTAATAGCAGCAGCAGGTCATCCTATGTGACACGGACAGAAACGAGCTGGTGCAGCCTGCAACATAACGTGGCCCCAGGGTTTCCCACCGGAGGTGCGTGCAGGGACACCCTTCTATTCGCGACATCGCAATACAAGCACCAACCGTTTGTCAGCCACTCCAGACGCTACGCAAGAGATAAGGCTCCTAATTACCAGTCGAGAACAGCAACTCGAGAACTGTCAACTCAGTACCCTTAGTATGAAGAGACTTTGGCACAAGTGTACATATCACAAGGGATTCACGACAGTACGATTACAGAGGCCAGAGAAAAGAAAAAAAAACCTGAGAACCGCTTCCTGAACAGGAAACAATGGATGAGCCTCTATGCCTGTTCAAGAGAAGTGGGAGAAGTATTGACCAGGCGATAGGCAAACCTACACACGCAGGAAAAAAAGGATATATAAAGTTTCAACTTCATTTAAGTTTCAACATGCACTTCGGAAGGAAGACAAACCACTCCATGAGCATGCCGTACAAATTGAGTTAAATGTCCGGTGCAAGTAAGAATATTTAAAAGACATCATATTAAAAAAAAAAGTACTCAAAATGAAATAAGAAAATAAGAGTGTAGACTAAATTCGCTTCAATTAAAAATAACAGTTTTCAATACTGAAAGCAACAGTAAGCAGTAACAGCAGTCAAAATCTTCTAAGAAAACATTTTGTTCATCAACTGTATAGCTATTATTAATAAGTGTTTGTTTTATATTCTTTAGTTCACTATAAAAAATTGTTTTGTGGATGAATTAGTTAGAGAGAGAGAGAGAGAGAGAGAGAGAGAGAGAGAGAGGGGGAGATAAATAGATAGAAAGAAAGAAATTGATAGGTAGCAATTTTCCACACGACTTTGTATACGAAAGAAAAACTTAATATTTACCGTATATACTCGCGTATCATGCGACCCTTGAAGACCTAATTTAGAAGTTAATTTGACTACAGTAAATGGATATGTATTTTAGCCAACGGCGTAGCCAGGGCCAACAGTACATACGCTAATTTCATATCTCGTGTATTATGCGACCCCATTAAAATTAGCTTCAAAATCAGATCTTCAAATGTCGCTTGATTATACACGGTAATATGCCCATCTTAATCCGGCGAAAGGCCACAAGTACGAAGAACTAATGAAGATTCCCAGCTAAGCATTATGTACAACGATTTAAAAACGGATTCATAAATGGATAAATAAATTGCAATATGAATATAGATAAATTATAGCCATGTAAACTAAACATAAACTTATTTCATTTAAACGTGAAAAGCCGATGAATTCCTAAAATCGCAGATTCCATATTTTTAAATAATTTTTTTTATTAATATATTAATATCCATCATGGTAAAATCGTTGTCTTCATTAAAATTCTGCCTTGTTTTTTTTATTAACAGTATTAAGTGAGTTTGCTAATAGATGTCCACCATTTTGAAATTATTTTAATTTCCTTCATGAAATCTTGTTTGCATTTTCAATAGGCCTTCACTAATCTATTTTAACATTTTTTTATCATTGATTTCCGTTGCATTCATTTTAGTAAGTGGATAAACATCAGGCATTCCTTTGCTCTCAAGCCAACACAAAAGATTCTTCTGGTTATGTAGTGTAACTTCCGTATATTTTAAATGGCATGCCCAAAAATATATAATAGACATTTCGCTTTCAATTCCAGATGCACCTGCGTAATTAATGATAAATAAGATCCACTAAGTTTTCCCCAACAAAATTAATAAAAAATATCACACGGAACTTATGTGGAAAGTTGAGTTATCTACACTTGCATAATACAGTTTTGTACATAACTTTTCTACCGCCATCAGCATGGCTGACGATGGACTCCTAGAGAGCAACACACTGGGCGTTCTTGACATCACGTTTTCAACTGACTTGAAGTGGATCGACTACATCGAATGAATAGATGCATCTACTGCAAGGAAATCTGGGCCATTATGTCGTGAAAGAACATGTTTCTCGTTAGAGTCCATCTTGCACATTTACAAATCTACCATTAGTTTGTGCATTGAATACTGCTGTCATACCTATTCATCTGGACAATATTCAAAGAAGGATCTGCAATGTAATTGATCCTGACTTGACATCTCGATTTCAGTCACTTTTTCACAGACGTGACGTGTCTTCTCTCTCTATTTTCTACAGTTCATGGCAACTGCATTGACGATATTTTTCCCTGGTGCCCGACTCTATGAATTTAATCGTATATAGGTCCGTCCCTTTTACTATTGAAGCAGGTAGATACAACCCCTACTTTGACTACAAAAGTTCTTTTCTTGCACTTACCGCCCGTGGGACTCCCTTCCTTGAAATTGCTTCCTTATCTAGGCCCGGCCCTATTACCGTTGAAGGAGGTACATGCAATCCCTACTTTTACTCCAAGTTTCATATCTAGCACTTCCCGCCCGTGGGACTCCCTTCCATTTACTTGCTTTCCTATTTAGGTCCGTCAGTTTTACTCTTGAAGCAGATACATATTGCAAAAATAACATACATATTTCTGAAACGTTATTTTTGAAAAAATTATCAAATTTAAAGTTAAGTTAATCAGATTTGAAACAATTATTACTTATAACATAAAAAAAAAATTGTATGCAAGCATTTCCTACTCACGGGGCTTTGTTTTTCTGACGTATTAATCGATTTATTTACGGCGTTCTGACCGCCGAACGTGTTCATAGTTAAGTAGAGTGTAGCAAACGACAAATTTCATTATTTTTTTTTCCAGTAAAGAGGAACAACCCTTAAAACAGGTGAACTTTTAAAAATAGATTTATCGCTTTGTACATCCATACTTCAAAAATTCAGCGACTATATAAATATATAAAAACAAATCGAAATTCTCTTAAAAGTGGTTGGGGTCTTCAAGATTGTAATGATCTTTAAAATTTATGAATAGTAATTTTTGTTTTACTCAATACAAATATTCCCTAAGAATTATCTCATCGAAATTGAACTTTAATAGATTTAAAAATTTATGAATTATTCAATTTTAAATTGTAAAAATTGAAAACAAATTTTTTTTTCTTCATAGAAAATTGAGAATATATCAGAAAAAAAAACATGCAAAATAAACTTGATTCATCGTAAAGTTTAGTTATGGACACGAAATGGTGTGGGCTATAATCAAAGGCGATGGTAGAAGAAAATTTGTAAAAGTTCATGAAAGTCTAAACAGCGAAGGCTCCTTCAGTTTAATAGGGTTTAATTTTCTGCAAGTCTATAAAGATACAAAACATATTCCAGCATTACTGTGCTCCTTTTCGCCTTTTACGTGCAACAAATGGTTTCTTGTTGATGAAGATGTTCAACTTTTGTAAGACGGGTCAGCGCAAGGGCCTGATCTCAATATAAGTGAGCCACTGTGGCGGAAACAGAAAGAACAAATGCTCCAAGCAAAACAAAGCAATTTTCAAAAGCTTTGGATTTACTGCCAAGAAAGATCAGGTAAATTTCTAAATCAAAATCCTACCGTTCTTCCTTTCAATGCCACATCGAAATGAGTCAATTATTCGTGCCAAAGGAAGCAGCACAAATTGCTAACTCCATACTTTCATGATTTGTACTTTCCGAAAACTTAAAACTGTTTTTTAACATCAATAAACAATTGAAACGTAAACGTAGGTGACCCAGTATTTTTGCATGGTCATTTTTAACGTTTCAGCTCGGCCTATCATTTCCTATTATCCCTACGCAGCATTAGCAAAAATGCAGTAACTTTTTTTTCGGTCCTCAAATATAATAAAATGTCAAACGTACCCCTAATCACTCTCAATTTTGGGGCAGAATTAACAAAAGTGATTAATTCACCAAGTGGCGCGCAAAAGGTTTGCGCGCATGTATATTTACATTATTTACATCCAGACATGGAGGGAGCACTGTGGATTAAAGAATAGCGATTAGTAATCGATTGAGGAATCGGAGAGCCAAATTCGAATTCCAGTCAGATCCATTGCATTCACTTGCCTGCTAGTACCATTGGGAAAGGTATGGATCTTCTTCTCCCCCCGCCACATCAGACTGTGTTCAATAGCAATCAGTCTCGGAGAATGTAACTCTGAATTAAAAAAAAAAAAAACAGTCTGGAGAATGTTGGGCTCTGTCCAAAAAACAACACTTCTACTGCGGCTGCAATGCATATGACGCCCCCCCCTCACGACCACGATGGGTCAAGGGATTCCCGATCAATTTTAAACTCGATATCACAAAATTTCTACCATTGTGTTTTCCGACCTTCGTCAGGTGCTTGTCGATCCAGGTAAACTTCAGTGAATTTAGAACTAAGCCCTTTAACAATATTTACATTATTCGGACTATTGTATTCATCTTTGTCGCCATATTTATCACAGCGTTTCGGCCGTTGTACGCTCCGGCCTTCTTCAGGTGGTTGGAATGTCGAACTTCACCCTTTATTTCGCTCACTGGGGGAGACGGTTCTAGTTCCACGTGCCATGTGCCAAAACGTTGTAATAAATATGGCGACAAAGATGAATACAATAGTCCGAATAATATAAAATAACTCAATAGAGATTAGACGAGCGGTAACTAGAAGTAGTGATTTCGAATTGGTCCAAAATTCCCTAGTTACGCGAAGAGACACGGGGAAAATCTCCGTAGATTAATTAAAAGGTTTATGTCTATATTTCTGAGATGAGGTATTATTTACATTATTTACATTATTCGGACTATTGTATTCATCTTTGTCGTCATATTTATCACAACGTTTCGGCCGTTGTACGCTCCGGCCTTCTTCAGGTGGCTGGAATGTCAGAACTTAATAAAATTATTTCGCTCACTGGGGAGACGGTTCTAGTTCCACGTGCCATGTATCAAAACGTTGTAATAAATAGATTTCTGATAGTAATTGAATTTCACTCCAGTCAATTAGTTTAACCGCCTCGTCTAATCTCGATTGAGTTATTCACATTTTCCCCGGAGGCTGTAGACAACTCATAAATATAAGTAGATTCATTTCTTAATCTTGTAATATTAAATAATGGCGTAGGGAAATTACATCAAATACAATAATTGTGACTATTACAGTTATAATTAGGTAATAATGTAATTTCTATCTTCATTAAATTAAAGAAACCATATTCATACAGACGACATTTACAATCGAGAAAATGCTTACGTTATTTTATTGGTTCGTCTTATTGTAAATGTTGCTTTAAAAAAAGGTGAGTTTTTGGGGGCTTCATACATTATTTGTCCTCGGACTCATTTGTTTTATATATTGCGACTGTTTATTTGCAAGAATAATTTTATATTTACCATGTTTTAAAAACTAATGCAATTATAATTAATGCAATGCATTAGTCATCAGTTACCAGTTTATAAAGAAATGAATATGACATAAATTTTTATTCATTAATTTATAAATATGAAATAAATTATTAAAATATGGGAACCAACTATTAGGAAATCTTTATTATTTATTTTTATAAAGTTTAGATCAATTATCAATTAACCACCTACTCCAATAAACAATATAATAAATAATATACAGTGTAACCCGGATATAAGAGAGTTGTCGGGACTGGAGAAGAAGTCTCTTATATCCAATTTTTCTCTATATCGGGTTTGGTCTTATTTTATATACATTAACACAGGCTCTAATTTGGGACCAGAGAAAATCTCTCTTATATCCGGGTTTCTCTTATATCCGGGTCTCTTATATCGTGTTACACTGTATATATATATATATATATATATATATATATATATATATAGTGTAACGTTATATATCAGAAAGTTTATCGATCCGGAGAAGTTTTCTCTTATATCCGGGTTTCTCTTATATCCGGGTTTGGTCTATTTTGTTTAGGTAAGTATGGCTCTTATTTGGGACCAGAGAAAAT